CTTAATCACAAACTCACGCACTTTAAGTACAAAATCCACACACATTAAGCACAACCTCACGCACATTAAGCACAAAACCCACGCACTTTAAATATTAACTCACAGACTTTAAGTTTCAACAACTACTGACATTAAGTACAAAACTCACGTACATTAAGTACAAAACCCACGCACATTAAGCACAAACATCACGCACATTAAGCACAAAACTCACGCACTTTAAGTATTCACTTACAGACTTTAAATTTTAACAACTATTCATGTTAAGCACATCCCCACGCACATTAAGCACAAACCTCATGCACATTAAGCACAAACCTCACGCACATTAAGCACAAAACACACGCAAGCACAAAACACACGCACATTAAGCACAAAACTCACACACATTAATCACAGATCCACTCACCTTAATTTTGACCTAGATGCAAAAATTACAAAATTGCCACCGCGTTTTTTTTTAAAACTTTGATAATCCTGGACGTTGATTAAAGCGAGATGAATGGCTCAGATTAAACCGCACAACTGCACCTGAAGCCCTCACCCGCACGAGAACCTAAATCTATATATATATATATATATATATATATATATATATATATATTATATTTTGTTGATGTTGTTATTTACTATTAAAGTTCAAATCTTTCTTTGAATATTTGAAGTGTGGATGATTTGTTCGGTTTTATTTGAATGAACACAGTAGACATATAGTAACCGTTGGGAGAGTTTTTAAGGTGGGAAGAAAACTTCATTGTCGTATTTTATTAGATGACCAACTAAAAGTGATTGTTGACAAAGTCATTTATAAAGAAGCAAGCTTCATATTTCCTATGAAGAAGCACAGACAATCGGTGAAACATTGGATCAATTTATAGGTTGGCGAAAGAAGCTGGTAGAGTTGTGTTCTGCGTCTGATGAGGTATGAGAAATGTGTATTTTTATATGTCCATTTTATGTTGAATATTTTATACTTAACTAGTAAATGAATTAAATAGATGGATAAACAATCGATTGTCCAGAAGTCTCCTATAATACATGAACATGATCCAAACACGTTAGATGTTGAGTGCAAACAACTATACTACATTTAAAGGGTTTTAACAATAATCATGTTACTATTCGCTTGAGTGATGAGATGTTGAGGATAAAAGATTATGATTTGCTTCTTTTTAAGGATGAGATGTTGTCTTATCTAGCAATGAAAACAATCGATGTCTCTTGTTTTATTCTTTATGCGGTAAGCTCTTTATTTCGTTTACTTATAAATCAACTTTTGTTTATTGTGATGTTTAGCAATAACAGTCGTATTATTGGATAGGTTGATGAATTTGGTTTGGCAAGGAAAAATGCATATGGCTTTTTAGATCTTAATTCCATTCAAGTATTCAACCCAAATTGGCAAGTCCCTAAAGTAGGACAAAATATATTTTTGCTACTATTGGAGAAGGAAAAAAATGTTATTTTGCACCATAGGTTTACAAGTATTTATTGAACAGTTAGTTTTTCAGTTAGATTTTAGCTGTGTTGTTAGATCTTTTCTCAGTTTGTTATCTATTTCTCTGCTATCTTCTGTGTATAAATAACTGCAGCTTATTCATGAATAAAACACACAACTCATATTATTAATTTGGTATCAGTTAAGCCATTCGATCCTCATGGCCGATAACAATATTCCACCTGCTGCTAATGATGGCTCGTCCGGCGGTTCTACTGCAGTTGCCGCCGTCCCAGAGTCCAGATCGACGACCTTACTCCATCAGGCGCATCACCATGTAACGCTCAAACTCTCTTCATCGAATTACCTCTTCTGGAAAGCCCAGCTCGTGCCTTTCTTGCGCGGGCAGAACCTCTTCGGCTTTGTTGATGGTACGAATGAGTGTCCGCCGGCGATGGTGGCGTCTTCCTCGTCGACGACAGTGCAGGTTGTGAATCCTCTTCATGCGATATGGGTGCAACAGGATCAGTCAATCCTGAGCATGCTTATATCCTCCATGGCTGACGAGGTACTGTATCTGTCCATAGGTCATGCAACCTCTCGATCAGCGTGGGTTGCCATCGAGACTGCCCTCGGTTCTTCCTCACGGGCTAGATCGTTGAGTTTGCTTACGCAACTCCAAAGCCTCAGGCAGGGGGAGTCGACGCCGGCAGAGTATCTCGGGAGAGCGCAAGTTCTTGTGGAACAACTCGCTCAGGCCGGGCGTCCGATCGGCCTCGACGAACAGAATCTCCATGTTTTCCGGGGGCTTCGACCGGAATACCAGAGTCTAGTAGCCTCCCTGACCACCAAAAGTGCACCACTGACCATTCACGAGGTAGCGGACCTGCTGGCCACTCATCAATATTTATTTCCAGACGAGTCCAGCTCTGTTCTACCTCCGTCACCTGCGGCCATGGTAGCCCAGCATCCGACTCCTACTTCTCAGCAACACCGTGGTCGCGGACGCAGCAATCGTGGAGGTCGGGGACGAGACCGCAATCGCGGCGGTATCCGGTGTCAAATTTGTGACATACCTGGACACACAGCGCTAACATGCTATCAACGCTACTCCGACACCACCGGCAATCGAGTTCCACCCTCACAGATCGGACACCGATCGGCGCCGCCGCACCAGGCGCATGTCGCTGCCCCCCAGTCTTACCAGCAAGATGACTTCCATACTGCTCCGTTCAATGAATCATTGCCCGAGACTAGAGCATCAGCGCATGCAACACCTCACGCAGCCAATCTTAATAACGTCGAGCCTTATAGCGGAGAAGAAACACTTCGCGTAGGGGATGGTACAGGTTTGTCAATACAAAACACTGGGTCTCTACACTTCCACTCTAAGTCTCGGTCACTGTCCCTAAATAATATTTTACATGTCCCTAAGTTACGTGCTTCTTTAATTTCTGTACAAAAATTCACTCGTGACAATAACGTTTATTTTGAGTTCCATCCTGACTATTTTGTTGTGAAGGACCGTATCACCTAGCAGGTCCTGCTTAAAGGTCCCAGTCACGGAGGGATGTACTCACTCAATACGTCGCCTCCAGTTGCATTTGTCACAGCCAAAACATCTCCGCGAATATGGCAGAACCGTCTCGGTCACCCACATCTCCGCGTCCTCCGTCAAGTTCTTTCCCGTTGTCCAGTTCAAGGTTCTTTAAATACCCTCAATAATTTATGTACAGCGTGCCAGATGGGCAAATCGGCACGCTTCCCTCTCCCTCTTATTGAGCAGTCTAGTAATTCTGTACTTGAGTTAATTTTTACCGATATTTGGGGACTATCACCGGTCCCGTCTGTAGATGGTCATCGCTATTTTGCCCTATTTGTAGATGACTTTTCTCGCTACGTGTGGTATTATCCAATGAAATTAAAAACAGATATTTACTCTGTATTTCATATGTTTCGTACCACCGTAGAAAAATGCTTCTCTAAATCCATTAAATGTATACAATCTGACATGGGTGGTGAGTACCGTAAGCTACACTCGGTCTTTACCTCAGCTGGTATCACCCACCGGCAGTCATCCCCACACACCCACGAACAAAACGGGCGTGTGGAACGTAAACACCGCCATGTAGTCGAAACCGGCTTGGCGCTACTCGCCCAAAGCCATGTTCCCCAAAAATATTGGTCGTATGCTTTCGAGTCAGCAGTTTATCTAATTAATAGACTGCCTTCCACTGTTTCAAAGAATGTCAGTCCGTACTACTGTTTGTTTCATAAAACTCCGAATTATAATTTACTTCGTGTTTTTGGGTGTGAGTGTTTTCCGTGTCTCCGCCCTTACAATAGACACAAGATGGACTACCGCTCCACTTCTTGTGTCTTTCTGGGCTACCCGGACTCGATGCTTGGTTACAGGTGTTTGGATCGAAGGACGGGTCGTGTCTACGTTGCCAAACACGTCCGCTTCAATGAAGATGTGTATCCTTATCAAGGTGAAAGTGTGGCGTCTACTATCTCTGCAGCTATCGGTAGTGCTCCCGGTGCTACTCCATGGGCGAGTGCCCCGGTTCTGCGTTCGGGCCCGGTTGCTGTACCTTCATGCTCTCAGGTACAATTACCAGCTGCCGTGCCAAGTTCTTCTCCGACACCGGACGCAGCTACCTCGGCCTATAATCCATCTACGTCGTCCACTACCACCACTAGACGTCGACGGACTGTTCGCCCAAATGTCCGTACTCACACCATGCAAATGAGGCAGCGGACAAACACTCAACGGCGGACACCAACTGCTATGGTTGTCTCGGCTGACGATAATGAACCAACCTGTCACTCCCAAGCGGTCAAATGCCCAGATTGGCGGAATGCAATGGACACTGAATTCAATGCCCTCTTACAGAACAATACCTGGCGGTTGGTACCCGCGCAGGATAACATGAACATTATAGGCTGTAAGTGGGTATTTCGCGTTAAACGGAAGTCAGACGACACCATTGAGCGATATAAGGCTCGCTTGGTCGCAAAAGGCTATCAAATCCCGGGCGAGGATTTTTCAGAAACGTACAGTCCGGTTGTAAAACCTGCTACAATAAGGCTGCTACTAGCCTTTGCTGTCTTTAACAACTGGACTATGCGCCAACTTGATGTACACAATGCCTTCCTAAATGGCAACATCGACGAGGACATTTACATGCGTCAGCCCCCTGGCTACGTGAACTCCAATTTCCCGGGACATGTGTGTAAACTACAACGCTCTCTTTACGGCCTCAAACAGGCTCCTAGAGCGTGGTTCAAAAGGCTACATGATTTCCTTGTTCAAATTGGGTTCCGTCCCTCAAAAATGGATGTATCGTTGTTTATATTTTCTGCTGGGCAGGTTCGCATATATATTCTCGTCTATGTTGACGACATTTTGTTGCTAGGGAACGATTCAGAAAAAGTGTAAAACGTCCTCGCACAACTCTCCACCACTTTTAAAATTCGAGATCTGGGTGTCCCCCGGTTCTTCCTTGGGATTGAAGCTTCCTATGCCGATGGGTCTGTTATGCTATCCCAAAAGCGTTACATGGTGGAACTCCTACGCAATGTTGGTATGGAAACTTGCAAGCCACTTTCGACACCGATGTCGACCACTGCTCCAGTCACCTCCAATGACTCTAAGCCCTTTGATGATCCGACGGCATACAGGAGCCTTGTTGGGTCGTTAATGTATCTGCTTATTACCCGCCCCGACTTATCTTATGCAGTTAACCGCCTGTGCCAGTTCATGCACAGTCCAACGGAGGAACACTGGGTAACACTTAAAAGAGTGATGCGGCATATTCAAGGGACTCGAGAGCTTGGCCTCCGTTTCACGCCTACCACTACACCGGTCCTGCATACGTTCTCCGACTCAGATTGGGCGGGATGCTCGGTTGACAGGAAATCCACTGGTGGTTACGCAGTCTTCCTCGGACCTAATCTTGTGTCGTGGGCCTCCCGGAAACAACGCACGGTAGCGCGTTCATCAACTGAAGCCGAATACAAAGCCTTAGCTGATGCTGCAACCGAAGTAACCTGGGTTCAGTCGCTGTTACGAGAGCTGGGATTGCATCCTCCCACTGTGCCGGTTCTTTGGTGTGACAATTTGGGAGCTACATATCTTTGCTCCAATCCTGTTTTTCACGCTCGGACCAAGCACGTAGAGGTGGACTATCACTTTGTCCGGGACAAGGTGACAACTGTGCAGATGAAAGTCAACTTCGTCTCCACTCATGATCAGCTAGCCGACGTGTTCACTAAGCCACTCCCGACGGTACGTTTCTGTTTTTTAAGGGACAAGCTTGGCGTGGCACAATGTCCCCCGCCAGCTTGTGGGGGAGTATTGAACAGTTAGTTTTTCAGTTAGATTTTAGCTGTGTTGTTAGATCTTTTCTCAGTTTGTTATCTATTTCTCTGCTATCTTCTGTGTATAAATAACTGCAGCTTATTCATGAATAAAACACACAACTCATATTATTAATTGTATTTATGTTATACATACTTTAGTTTATACAATATTGTTGTTTTTAATTTAAATGAAGCATAAATTTGTATGCAGTGATCATGGGATGCTGTATGTAATTTGTCCTCAGCAATTGAAAGTCTATTGCTTTGATTCTATTCATGGGAATAAAGAACTTACAGATATTAAGAATATAATTGACAAGTACGTAAACCATATATATTGAGTTGTTATTTAGTTATGCTATGTCATTTATTTAAATATATGTACTTTTTTTTAAAAAAAAATTTTAATAGTGCACTCAAAGCATTACGTACAATTCCAAAATAAACTGAAGTCAAATAGACTCAAATTGTTGACATTGATTAGAAACCAAGTAAGCACTTTATATTTATACAAAATGCATGTTTAGTATAGTTTATATTATTTTATTAATTTTATACTTTAAATTTGTTGTAGTGCCCTAAACAACCCAAATCCGTTGAGTGTGGTTATTATGTGATTAAATATATGTATGATATTATGCAAATACAATTAAATGACGGATTAGACAAGGTAAATAATGATCACTTCAATATATTTTTTACAAATTAGAATGAATCATTTATACGAAGATTATGTGGCCTAATGGTACCTGGGTTGGACTTCTATTTGGAAGGTTGTGAGTTTGAGTTTCAGTGGAGGCGTTATTGGCCTCTTTGTGATTCAGTAGGTTGAGAAAGTATATGAACAAGATATTTTATGGTGCAATTGAATAGGTTTTATTGTATTTTATATTGGAGATTTACAAATTGCGAATAATATTTATATAAAAAAAATAACAATATACAACAATTACAACTTGTAACCGCCGTATAAAGTAATTCTTTATTTTTTTAAAAATACTTTATACGGCGGTTTTCACTTGAAACCGCCGTATAAAGTATGTATTTATTGGTGAAAGTAGGTGCACTTGTAAATGATTTTACCTACACGTTTTACTTGCAAAGGTGCACAAACTACTTGCACATATAACACATTTACATGGACCAAAGTTCGAGTTATTTACGAAAATGTCACCATGTCGTGCATTCTAGCCCGTTGGTAATCTGGTACGTGTGTGCCAGAGGAGATATTGTGCAGTGCTTTGCTTTCGAACTTAGGCGTTTGTGTTAGAATGTGTAAATGGTGTATATGTATTTGTGGTAGTTGGGCGATTACATAATGTATTAAAATATATGTTGTTGACAGTGTTGTGCAGTTGGAAGATAACTGCTGATTGAATTCAAGAGGATTGAAAGAGTGAAAGAAAAATGGATTTCTGTTACTATAATGGAGAGAAAGCTAGACTGGTTTATATAAATTGATGGTGGAATAAACTGCTGCTAACAACTACAACAGACATCTAGCTAACTTTACTGCTAATTGCTATAGACTACTGCAAAGATGAGGGCTGCTTTTGACTTGAGCTGACTTGCTGATTTGCTAATCATTTATATCCTCTAAGAGCCCCCCCTCAAGCTGGATTGTATAGGTTGTACAATCCCAACTTGGAAACATATTTGAAGAAGGAACTTAGACAATGAGCCTTAGTTAGAACATCTGCTAATTGATTATCTGAAGCTACATGAAAGAGTTTGATAGTTCCTTTGTGTAGTTTTTCTCTAACAAGAAGACAATCGATTTCTATGTGCTTTGTTCTCTCATGATAAATAGGATTTTCAGCAATAGCTATTGCAGACCTGCTGTCACAGTATATAGCAGCTGGAGTACCAGGATATATGCCAAACTCACCCAGCAAATATATCAGCCACTGAACCTCACAAGTGGTTGCAGCCAAGGCTCTATATTCTGCCTCTGAAGAAGATCTGGATATGGTAGGTTGCTTCTTAGATTTCCAAGATACTAAGGCTTCACCAAGAAATATACAAAAGCCAGTGACTGACTTTCTAGAATCAACACAGACACCTCAATCTGAATCAGAGAATGCCTTTAGCTGAAGATCAGATGAGGCTGGAAAGAATAAGCCTTGTCCTGAAGCATTTTTGAGATATCTCAGCACCCTATGATCTACTTGTAAGTGTAGATGTGTAGGTTTGTTTAGGAACTGAGATAACTGTTGTGTGGCAAAACTTATGTCAGGCCTTGTAATGTTTAGATACAAAAGTTTCTCAACAAGTCTTCTGTATTGAGTATTATCATCAAGAACATCACCTTCATTTCTGCTTAATTTGTGAAAAGGAACAGTAGGGCTATGGACAGGTTTTGATCCTATGGAACTTGCTTCATCTAGCAGCTCTAATGTATATTTCCTTTGAGACACTACATTACCCTTCCTTTGCCTAGCAATTTCAAGACCAAGGAAATACTTTAGAGGCCCTAAATCCTTGGTTTGAAACTGATCATTGAGGTGTGTTTTGATCTGTACAATTAAGTCCATATTAGGACTGGCCACTACTATATCATCAACATAAACTAACAGTGCCACAAATGATGATCCTTCTCCTTTGGTAAACAATGAATTATCAGGAGTAGACTGCTTAAATCCCATCTTTAGCAAGGCATGACATAACTTGATATTCCATTGTCTACTAGCTTGTTTCAAGCTATACAAAGACTTGATTAACCTGCAAACCTGACCATCCTTCCCTTTTTCATATCTAGGATAAACTTGTTAAAAGCGGTCGCTTTTGCGCTTTAAGCGCAAAAGCGACGCGCGCGAGGGCACATCGCCTCGCCTTGGCGAGGCGCTGGTATGTGATATAGCGCTCGCCTAACTGCGCTTTACAGCGAAAGCGGCGAAGCGATGAAGCGTAACAAAGCGAAGCTTTGTTTCAAGAGGCGCAGGTCAACGGTCATTAAGTGAAAAAAAAAAAAACTTATCTAAAAGTCTAAAACGAACTGGAGATCGCAAGTCGCAACAAACCCTCGCCGCTTCTTCTCTCTACGCGACTCAGAAGGCTGCTCGCTGAAGGCCTACTTCCTCGCTGCTCGCCGACGCCGACCACTCTCCCCGCCCCAGTTCGCCGTCGCCCGTCCGGCCGTCCTCCTCCTCACCGCTGGTATCACCGTTCTTCTTCTTTATTTATTTATTTTTTTCTTTTTCATTTCCTCTTCGGCTCTTCCGTAAAGAAGGATGAACTATTAAGCTTAGAATAACTATGTTAATATGTTATAATGCATTAATATATAATATATATGTTGATTGTTGAAAGTTTGAAACCTTTGACTCCTTGAGGCAGTAGAGTACTCACTATTATATATCACTGTGCGTACTGCTTACTGCTTTGGCCTTTGGGGTTAAAAAATTAGCTATAAATCTATAATAAATAATAATTAATTATAGCTAGCTTAAGACTTAAGACATTAAGTTAATAACTTTTGAAAATTACAATTTACACTTTATTAGTTGAGTATTTTATTCTTGAATACTTTGTAAAATGTAAATTGTAATTTTGTAGGTGAATTTTATTATTTATTATAATGTCTAATCCAAGAAATCAAGATCCGGGATGGGAGCATGGCATACCGGTTTCGGATAAAGGCACTACGCATGTACGTTGCAAGTATTGTGAAAAAATAACAAAAGGTGGTATTTATAGGCATAAATTGCATCTCGTGGGAGGAAATAGAAATGTTCAAGCATGTATAAAATGTTCTCAAGTTGTTAGGGATGCAATGAGAGAGTTTATGCTCAATAAGAAGCAAAGAAAAGAGGAGGTAAGTTCAACGGCGACAATGGGTGTTCCTTCAAACTTTGATGACGAAGATGATGATGGTATGGATTTCCCGGAGGTGGCGGAAAATCCGATGATGGAATCTAGTTTAGAATCTTCTACCAAATCAATTAAAGGTCCTATGGATTTGTATTTTAATAAAAAGGAACACCAAAGTTTGAAAAGGGCAAAAGGCGGCGAGCAAGTAACATTGGAGGCATGTAAGAAGGAGTTGAGGGAGAGGGCTATGGTGCAATTTTCACGGTGGATGTACGAGGCCGGACTACCATTTAATTGTGTTCAATACACTAAAAGCTTTCAAGGCTTTATTGAGTGTGTTGCACAACATGGACCGGGAATGAAGCCACCTTCCTATCATGAAGTTAGAGTGCCATATCTTAAGAAGGAGGTTGAGCATGTTAAGGAGTTGTTCAAGCCACATCAGGAGATATGCGATGTATATGGTTGTTCTTTGATGATGGACAAGTGGACAGATAGGAGAGGTCGTGCATTTATAAATATCCTAGTTAATTGTTCACTTGGATCGTATTTCCTCCAGTCGGTAGATGTTAGCACGGACACGGTGGATGCTACGAAAATGCTTGAGCTCTTTGAAACTTTTGTCAATCAAGTGGGGAAGGACAAAGTTGTGCAAGTCATATCTGACAATGCTTCAGAGAATGTGAGAGCTGGTATGTTTAAAATATTTGACTTTTTATATAAGTATTTAAGATTTGTAAATTGTAAATTTTTTAACCTATTAATTCTTGACATAATTTAGGCAAGGATTTAATGGAGTTGTACCCGACATTGTACTGGACGCCCTGCGCTGCCCATTGCATCAATTTAATGTTTAAAGACATCTTTGAGATTCGTCATTTTTCAATGGCGTACAAGCGGGCTTTGAAGTTGTCGGTGTATATCCATTCAAAGACAAAGCTTTTGAATTGGTTGAGGAAGTACACTGGGAAGCGTGACTTGGTCAAGTTTGCTAAGACTCGGTTTGCTACAGCATTCTTGACATTCAAGAGGCTTCACGAGCAGAAAAATAATTTGAGAAAATTGTTCAACTCAGAAGAATTCCTCACTAGCTCTTACTTCAAAGAAGAGGCAGGAAAAGAGTGTTCTAGAATTGTGCAAATGCCAAGCTTTTGGAATACAATTCTAGAAGCACTTAAAATAGGCGGTCCATTGATTAACACTCTTCGATTAGTTGATGGGGATGTTAAGCCATCAATGGGCTATATTTATCCTGCGATGGAGATCACAAAGAAAGCAATTGAAAAAGCTTTCGACAACAACACAAGCAAATACAAGAAGGTATTTGAGATCATAGACAAAAGGTGGACTTCCCAGCTTCGTCAACCATTGCATGCAGCTGCATATTACTTGAATCCAGATTACTTCCGGTATAGGGGTGAGCAAAAGGTTTCTCCTTCAATTAATTCGCCAGAAGTTGTTGCTGGCTTTTATTCTTGTTTCGAGAGGTTGGTTCCAGATCTAGATCTGCAGGAAAAAATTACCGAGGAAGTATCTATGTGGGAAGTTGGCGAGGGTTTATTTGGCTTGCCAGTTGCGAAGAAGCAACGTGGTTCTAGAACTCCAGGTTCTTACTTCTTAGACAATTAACGATTTAACTTATAATTTTTATTTATAATCAAATTTTGAATAATTTTCAAATTTTACAGTTAATTGGTGGACTTCTTTTGGGGGTTCAACTCCCAATTTGAAAGAATACGCAATTAAGCTTCTTAGTCTCACAACTAGTGCGTTCGGATGTGAACGGAACTGGAGTGTCTTTGAGAGTGTAAGTAATAAGTTAGTCAATTTAGAAGTAATTAGCAATTATAACATATTCATGCACTAATTCATTTTATATATTCCAGTTGCATTGGAAAAGGAGGAGTCGCCTTGAACACAATCGCCTTAATGATTTGGTTTTCATTAAGTATAATAGGGCATTGAGGCGACGATGGGAAATGCGGGATACCATTGATCCAATTTGTTTGGATCAAATTGATTTTGCCAATGAATGGTTGACAGGTATCCCGGAGGATGCAAATGAGGAGTTGGTGTTTGGTGATGGGGATAGCTTGACTTGGGGTGAAATTGCTAAATTTTCAGGTGCAAATGAAACTCCTTATTCTCTTAGGCGTGCTTCAAAAGGAAAAGAAAAGGTTGGGAGTTCAACTTCAAGGTCTAAGGAAAAGGAAAAAGTGAATGAAGATGAAGATGAGGAAGATGAGGAAGAAGCATGTGAGGAAGATGGAGTTATGGAATTTGACAATTTGGATTTGTGTGAAGAAGAATATGAGTTTGATATGGATGATTGAATGACTATGAGTCTATGAATGATTGTGTTGTGACATTATGATGTTGTGTTGTTATGATGTTGTGACTTTATGATATTTGTATTATTATGATGTTGTGAGTTGTGACTTTATCACTTCAGGAGTTATTTTGGATGATATTTTGCATAATTATTTGAAGTTTTTGACTATATATATGTATAATTTATATATATTTAAAGCGTCGCTTTTTGTGAAAAAGCGACGCTTCGCTTTGCGCTTTCGCTTTAAAGCAAAGCCCGAGCTTGTCGCTTTAGTGCGTTTTTCCGCTTTAAAAAGTTTGATCTAGGAGGAATTTCCATGTAAACTTCTTCCTCTAGATCTCCATGAAAAAAGGAATTATTCACATCCATTTGGTGGAGATGCCATTCCCTTGCTGCTGCAATTGCTAATAAAGTCCTAATGGTAGTCATCTTTGCCACTGGACTGAAAGTGTCCAAGTAATCAATGCTAGGGGTTTGAGTGTAACCCTTTGCCACAAGCCTTGCTTTGTATCTTTCAACAGTACCATCTGCTTTATGTTTGATCTTGAATACCCACCTGCACCCAATAGGCTTCTTGGATGATGGTAGGTCTACTATCTCCCAGGTGTTAGTACTTTTTAGAGCAGCAATCTCATTTTCCATTGCCTTCTTCCAACACTCATGCTTCACAGATTCCTTATAGATTTTTGGCTCAGTGTGACAGTCAACATTCATAATAAAGGAATGGAAAGATGATGAGAGTTTAGTATAATTTACCGCTTTAGAAATATCATGAGGAGAAGACCTTAGAATAGAACTGTGGCACACATAGTCTTCCAAGTAGGTTAGAATATGCCTTTGTCTGGTGGATCTTCTAACAACTGGTTGTGGAGAGTTTTCTGGTGAAGGAATAGCTGATTGGACATGCTCTTCTTGTGGTTATTCAGCTGCTTCACTATTGAAAGGGCTGTGTGTTGGTTCATGATGGTTGACAGTGTGAGGATGGCTTTGTGTATCATCACAAATTCTTACTGAGGCATCACTTGGGAGGATGACCTGAGAGAACTCCTTTTTTGGATTAACATTATGCTGAAATGGGAATGAATCCTCATAGAACACTACATCTCTGGACAGAAAAACCATCTTAAACTGCAGGTCATATAGTTTTTAGCCCTTTGTACCATTATCATAACCAAGGAATATACATTTCTTAGCCCTAACCTCAAATTTTGATCTTGGGACTACTGTAGTAGCATAAGCCAAGCAACCAAACACCTTTAAATGTTGATATTGTGGAACCTTATTAAGCAGGATTTGATAAGGTATCTTATTGTCAATAGAAACAGATGGCAGTCTATTTATAATGTAGGCTGCATGAAATACACACTCACCCCAAAAAACTTCTGGTAGGTTTGCTTGGAATCTTAGAGACCTAGCAATGGATAGAAGGTGGCCATGTTTTCTTTCAACTCTGTTGTTCTGTTGAGGGGTATGCGTACAGGATGTTTGATGCAATATTCCCTT